AACCCTGCACTTATGAAGATGCACACATATAATGACTAACTCTCCTTACTGAAGTAGTTATTTTATTCAATAGACTTAATTTGCCCATGCTTTAAAATAAGTTTGGGGGGACTCAGCAGTGAATCCATCTAGTTCTGAGCTTTTCTTTGTGAAGACACTTTTAAACTTTGCTTCATGTTCATTGCCTCTTATGGTTTTGTTTGTCTGAATTTTCTGAATTTAGTTTTGATAGATCTTATGTGTTAAAAAATAAATATATTTCTTACAGTTTTCCAGCTTTGGGGACTATAAATTTTGAGAGTATTCTCTAATGATATCGATTTCCCTGGAGTCTGTAGGGGCCCTGCTTTCATTGTTTGGTTAGTTTGGGTTAGTTCTCATTGTTTGGTTAACCTTTTAAAAGAACCAGTGCCTTGATTAATTTTTTGCACTGTTCTTTCAGTCTGCATTTCACCGATTTTTGAGTAATTACAGTTATAAGCTTTTCTGTTAAATCTGCTTTGGGTATACCCCCCCTGCCATAGGTTCTGGTAGGTTTTGCTATCATTTTCATATGATTCTAAGTATCTTTAAACTTCTTGATTTCTTCAATGATTTATTGTTCTACAAATATATATTGTTCAGTCTCCAAATATTTGTGTATTTTTAAGGTTACTCTTGTTAATAATTTCTCATCTTATTCCATCATAGTCTCATAAAATGTAAGGAATTATTTCAGTATTTTTTGTACTTGCTGAGGCATATTTTTTAGCTTATAATATAAACAATCTCAGAGAATGTTCCATGTACTGCTGAGAAAAGAATTTGTATTTCCTGTTGTGGGGTGAAATATTTCTATTGAATCTAGTTGATATAAGGTAAAACTTACTTGTCTGATATTTTACTAATTTTAATTTAGAAGACCCATGTAAATATGATAGTGGGATATCAAAGTCTTCCACAATTTTTATATAAGGATCAATATGATTTTTATGCCTTTTTGTATTTGTTTATGAAATTTGGAGCCCCAATATTGAATGCATATTTATAATAGTGATACATTCTTGAGGAATCATTTTCTTCATATCTTCTATTTTTGGTTTGAAGTCTACTTTTCAGATATGAGAATAACTATGCCTGTTTGTTTATAATGTCAATTGCTTGAGAGGCTGATTTCCAAACTTTGACTTTCAATTTTCACATGTCTTTACTAATTATGTGAGTTTCTTAGCGAAAACCCATTCAGATCTTGTTTTTTTTTTTTTCCAAAAACCAATCAGTTAGTCTATGTCTTTTAATTGATGAGTTAAGGCCATTTGTGTTCTAGGTTATTATTGAGAGGGATTCACTATTTCTGATGATTTTGCTGGTTGTTGCTTTGGTCATTTCATTGAGGTTTGCTGACTTGCTGTATTTGATATAGTTGGGTTCTTCCTGGTTCTGCCTTAGTCATCAGCTTCTCTAATGAAATTTTATCCTTCTTATGTTTTCATAAATGGAATTCTCTTTCTTCATAGATGCATAGTACTCCTTTAAGAACTGACTAGATGGGCCATAACATAAATAACAGAATGCATGAAAACAAGCAGGGGTGTGGCTATGGGAGGGTGGGGAAGGGGGCATAAAGATGATTAAGATGTTGTGTATGAAATACACAAAAAATCAACTAAAAATTTGTCTTGGGGGCTGGAAAGATGACTCAGTGGTTAAGAACACTGGCTGCTCTTACTGAAGACCTGGGTTTGAATCCCAGCACCCACATAGCAGCTAACGACCATTCATATCTCCAGTTTCAGGGGATCTGACACACTCTTCTGTACTCCATGGCTATTTCATGACATGGGTGCACTTACATATATGAAGACATAACAATCATATACATAAAATAAAAATAAATTAATTTTAAAAGATTTGTCTCCAGGAATGCCTTGGTTGTCAGAAAATGCCTTACATTGTGTTTATGTTAAAATTTTCTTATTTCTCCATGAATTTTAAGATATAACTTTGCTGAGCCTTGTAATCTTGGCTGATGGTTACTTATCTCAGGGCTTAGAACACATCATTCCATACTTACTGGATTTTAGGGTTGCTGATGAAAAATCTGTTATTATTCTGATGTTTCTTCCTCTGTACGTGTGTTGGCATTTTTTCTTTACATTATTTAATGCTGTTTTTTACTTTGCATATTTGACATCCTGTGAAGCATTTCTTCTCTGCTGGTCTATTTGGGGTTCTAAACTTACATTGAGATGTTTATTTCTTTCTCTATGTTTGAGGAAATTACTGTACATAATTTCATTGAAGAGATTATCTAAGCCTTTTGATTTTGTTTAAGACTTTTGACTTTATGTCAGCTCCTTCTTCTGCACATATTCTTGGGTTTGATCTCTTGAATGTATTTCTGACATCTCAAATGTTTTGGCCATGTTTATTAATTTTTCTTTATATGTGCCATTATGTATTATTTTCTTCACCTTTTCCTCCATCTTTTAAATTTATCCTTTTGCTTAATCTTATCAGTTGTTGACGCTTTCTCCTGTGTTTTTATTTGATTCATTGATAGAGCACTTGCCCTAGCATGTTTGGGGTTATTGGTTCAAACTTTAGCTTCACATAAAGAGGTATACCTTCAATGACACAAAGCCAGAAGGAAACAATGAGTGACAGCTACTAGGCTATTTCACATCAAATAATCCAAAGAGATGCTTGATGAGACCCGGAGTCTTAGAAGATCCTTGGTATATCAGGGATTGACACACTTGTTCAAAGACCATGAAGTGATCTGAAGAGCTCTGGTGGATGGCCTATAGCATCTCAGGAAATAATGGGGAGCTCATTGTTTAAAGGAAACATCTAATAAATGGTGTGGCAACAGTTCATTATTTAACAATTAATTTACCTGTGTCAGTGCTTATTAACTGTTCATTGGTTTGAGGTGAAATACAAAGTATCTTCTCTTTTAGATTTCAATTCCAGACATCCACCCTGACTTGGGAATCCTTCAAACTTTTAAGGACTTAAAAACAATCTATAAACTGCTGTTAAAGCCCTTACTAAGAATTCAAGTAACGAGAGGCTACTGTGAACTTTATCTGTCCTTTTACCTGCCTCTTTAAAAGACCAGTTGAGTTGATAGCTGTATTCCTATGTTTGTTCAGTGTTTGAGAAGTATAGTGCTATGACAATTGGAAACAAGCTAAGAATACATTTACTACTCCCATCAACCAAACTATGTCTTTGCTCAGTTTTGTGTCTTCGTTTCTTCCTCTTTATTCTGTTACCTTTCTCAACTCCAGCACTAGTCCTGATTTGTAAAAATGAATTCCACAGTGAACATTAATAATGAGTGACAAAGTTTAGAGTCGAAATGGAATGACAGAAATCCTAATTTTATTCTTACCTGAGCTAGCAATGGTCTTTTCATGTCCATCTGCTTTACTGATCCAGTCAGCTTTAGTTGTTGCTGTGAGAACAAGGAACCCAGGTCAGAAGCTTCTCTTCCATTGAGGAGCTGTGAGGGTATGGGATGTTTGCAAAGGCTGGAGGTTTTTGTTGGGGATTCTCTGTTGGGCTTTCAAAGCTACCTAGCATATCATTGACCACCAGTACTATGAAGTGAAATATCTTATTTTCTTATTATTAAGAGTGCTCAGTGAAAATAAGGTGTATAAAGAAGAATTAATATTCCTCATGTCACAGAATAAGACAGGCTAGGAAAAAATTATAATCTCTTATTTTTTATTTTCACAAAGAAAAGTGTGCATTTTGGAGTCCTTTTCTTTTCTTTTCTTTTGCCTTTCTTTTGTTTCCATTCCTTTATTGTAATGATCTCTCTGAGTAATTTAGTAAACTCTTTGCCCAAATTCAATGGAATTTGGTATACTTGGTTTCTGAACACCATTTTAGATGACTCCTACTGCAATAATGCCATAATAATACTTACCTTCCGAAGAAGATTTCATGGTTGTAGGTGACTCAGTCTTGGTTATGAATGTATTAGAGGAGTCTGCAAGGAAAAAGTAGCCCAGTTAAGAATTTTGTCACTCTTGGATAAATAGGCGAATACCCTGGAAAATAAAGAATTAGATAAATAAATTCAGATTCACAACTGGACTCCACAATACTTCTCCTATGATGCTAGTAAATCCTGTTGCCTGTAAATTTGTGGCACTTCAACATACCTGAATCCCATCACACCTTCCCACTTCAGAGGTAATTTTGAAAAGTTTCACCTTCCAGGTGTAGGAGTGAGCAGTTCATTCCCAAACTACTATCTTTACTTGACCTGCCTAATGATTCCCTGAAAAACGTAACTCCAAAAGCTTATTTATTGGTTACTCAGCACTAAAAACATTCCCCTAAGGTTAGGAGAATATTTGTCACACAGAAGCCTAAGGAAATGGATAGTAGTTTGGGAAAACAAAAGACCAATCAAGAACCTTAATAGGAAATGGGCAAGAATGAGATAGCGACAGAAAGTTGAAAAAGCTCTGACAGTTTTCTGGGAGTCAAGTGGGACATATCCTTTCATAAGGCCAAGTGCCTGCTCATGAAGAATGTGAGAATACCATCAGCTCTTACCTGTGGTTAACCTGGAGGTTTTAAAGAAACAGAAAGTAACAATGTGTCATGGTTGTAAAGTGGTTGAATGTTGATGCCATGGATAAATAGACAAAGAACTTCTCTGGCACAAACAATATGGTTTATTTGTTCCAGGCAATTAAGAAAATCTCTATCCAATCATTAACTGACCACTAAATTAACCAAATAGATACTTTATTGGCCATCTATGGCAACAAATATAAAAGACTACAAAATTAGTTCAGGAAAATTACAGAAAACAAACAAAATAATTGAGCACAACATGTAGTGTCAATAGGGGGGATCAGGTTTCTAGAATTTCCCCCTTATATGACTCTAGAAGTTCAGTTTTCAGCAGCAACAAAAATGTGAATGATATAAACAAACAAACTGTAAGTTTACCCTATAAACAGTTAATGAAAATCAATCAATAGAAAGTGTTTTAGGAAGCATGGATAGAGAATTTACCAGACAAAAATGATTTAGATATGTTCAAACTGATGGAATAGATATCTGAATAATTAAAAATGATGACAATGATTCAAACCAAATAGAGAACATCTTTAAAGATGCTGGATATTTTCAAAAGTAGCCAAGTAGAAATACAGAAGTTAAAACTTCAATAAATGAATGGAAAATTTAGGAGAAGAAAGAAAGGTAATCCAGAGCAGATTTGAGGAGGCAGGATAAAGCATCAGTAAGTCTAAATTTATGACAACTGAAATTATTCAGTTAGTGAAAATGAATTTTAAAAAATGAACAGAACCTAAATATCTGTGGGATACCACCAAGTATGCCAACATATTCTTAATGAGAATCCTAGAAGGAAAAGAAAGAAGGAGGAAAGTAGAACATTTGAAGAAATGTCATGAATATCTCAATTTGATGAGAAGAACTATCTGCAAATCTAAGAAGCACAATGAATTTCAAGTAGAGTAAACGTAAGAACATTTACACTTAGTCACACTGTAATCAAGAGCCAAATCCAAAGTGAAGCTATCGAGAGCAGCAAGACAGAAGCAACTTATCATGTAGATTATGCGTTTAATACTTTTAAACAAAAATATTAACAATTTTTAATTTCATATTTAGTAAAACACCTTCAACAAAAGAAACCTGGGCACACTTGCATGCACTTTTAGCTCCAGTTACAAGTTCAAGGTTTGTTTGGATAGCACAACAAAATCCTGTCTAACCATGAACAAAATCCCCCAAATCCAAAACAAAATGAAAATTAAAAAATTTCCAAGACAATGAGTGAAAGAATTTCCCCCTGCAGATCTCTGATGCAGAAGAAATGTCAAAAGGGGGCTAACAGATGGCTTAGGGGTTAAGAGCACTGGCTGCTCTATCAGTTCTTAGCACCCCCCTGGTGGACACCTTCTTCTAGCCTCCATGAGTATTACATACATATGTGTACCTACTTACATGCAAGCAAAACGTCCATACACATAAAAGAAAAACAGTAAATGAAATATTTTTAAATTAAATAAATCTTAAAAATTAGAAATTTCAAAAGGGCCATAGATATTATCCAGTGTTCACATGAAGAAATTTAAAAAAGCATCACTAAAGGTAATTCTATAGGAAAACAGAATGTAAATTTACTTTTATGACCGATTTAAAAGAGACTTTACAAAGAAACAGATTAAAATCGATACTCACTATAATACATAAAATGTATTCTTTTGCGATGACAGCATTAAATGGAGAAGAAATTGAGCTATGAAGAAACAAAGCTTTTGTATATTCTGAAATTATGTTGAAATAAATCCAAACCAGATAGTAAATTAAGAATACATGATATCCCATAGAAATACAATAATGGAAATATTTATTCACCTAAGCAATAATTGAATTATGTAATACACTAAAAATTATCTATTTAACATCAAAGTTGAAAGGAACTGGAAAATAGAGAAATAAGGGCAAAAGTAAATAAAACAAATAGAAAATTAACAGAGATAAATCCTACTTAATAAAAATGAGAATAAATGGAAACAGAGTAAGCTCTCAAATTTATAGGCAGAGAGTCTCATATTATCATATCTAACTATATGACATACCCACTTATGGCTCAAAGGAAAAGTGGTTTTATAGTAAAAGGATGGAAAAAGTTGTACCATGAAAATATTAACCAAAATTTTGCTAGAATGGCTATACTAATAGCTGACAAATTATATTTAAGCCAAAGATTTTAAATAGAGAGAAATAAAAATAGTTTATAACTATAAAACACTTATGAAGAATAAACACCGGCTGATAATAGAGCCCTAAAATTCATGAAGAAGAATTAGCATGATTGAAGGAAGAAACAGTCAATTTAACAACAATAATTTGAGACTTAAATACCCTACTTTAAATAATGGATGTAGCAACTAGATCATTAGGGAAATTCAAGACTTGAATAACATTATTAACCAGCTAGACCTAATAAGCATATAACAAAAGCATCATACAATAATAGTACAATAGAAATTATCCTCAAGTACACATGGAACATTTTTCAGAACAGACCATCTTTTGGCTATAAAACAAATCTCAGTGTATTATAAAAGGAAATGAAATAATAAGCATCTTCTCCAAATGAATGTCATACAATTAGAAATTAATTAATTTCTGAAGAAGAATCAGGAAACTTGTAATTACAGAATTTAAGCAAGTAAAAATATTAAGTTGCTAATTAATATTTTTATCTATTATTTTTATTTTGTGTGTGAGTGTATTGCTTGCATGTATGTAAGTGCACCCATGCTGTGCAGTGCCTGTGGAGGTCAGAAAATGGTACAGATCCCTTGGAACTGAAGTTAGAGATGTTTGTTAGCTACTATGTGGGTACTGGGAACCTAACCTGTGTCTGATCCATCTCTCCAGCCAGTCTCTAGTTAAGAACCACTCATTAAAAAAAAAATACTGGAGAGATGGGTTAGCAGTTAGGAGCACTGGTTGCCCTTAAAGAGGCCCTGAATTCACGTCACAGCACCCACATCAGGAGGCTCACGACTTCCTGTTATCTAGCTTCAGGGCTCTGATACCTCCTGGCATCTTCTCCATGGGTACTTGCACACATGTAGCACAAACACACACACACACAGACATACATACATACACACACATACCCACATACACGCACATACACACACACACACACACATACACACACACACACACAAATAAATCTAAAGAAAAAGTCAAACCCCAAAATTGCTGGATTCCATCAGAGCTTAAAATATTAAGAAATTTTGATTGTGGTGGCACCTGTCACATAAACACAAGTAATAGGTTTAAATTCAACAAAATTAATCTTTTGTACTTTAAAGGGCACTATCATGAAAGTGAAAAGACAACATGTAGAATGCAAAAATAATTTGGGAATAACACATTTGATAAGAATCTAGGATTCCAAGTGAATAAATTACTCTTACAACTCAGGAATAAGGCAGACAACCTAATTTTAAAATAACTAAAGTATTTAATTAGGCATTCTTCATAAAATTTTGAAGTCACTACAATATCTGAATTTAGGATAATAAATTATATAGAAGTATACTAACCAAAAAGGAAAGTCGAACAAAGTAGAGATGCCAGAAATAAGCTGATACATCTAAAATCAACTAATTCTTGGTAAAGGCACAAAAAACATATTGGATAAAGGACAGACTTTTCAATAACTGAAGAACTAGATATTCCTAAGATTGAAACTTGACAGCTATTACTTTGTTTAAAAATCAACCAAAGTAGATTAAAGACCTTAATGAGAAAGTACTAGAAGCAAACATAGGGAAACACTTCAAGATGTGGGTAAAGGCAATGATTTTCTGGTTATGACTTCAAAAGCACAGGAAACCAAAACCAAAGTTTTCTCATTGATAGCACATCAAAATAAAATATCTGCACTGCAAAAAAAATTTATCAGAGTGAACACACATCCTATAGAATAAGAAAAAATATTTATCAAGCATTCATCAAAGAGTTAACAGGAAGAAGAAATAAGAACTAGAAAAACTTACTCAAAACCACATAATCCAACTAAAAATGGCCAAATCATCTGTATAAACATTTTTAAGAAAAAGTGAAGGAGCTAGTTGTGGTGATACATACTTCTAATGCCAGAACTTGGATGGCTGAAATAGGAGGATCTCAAAATTGAGGAGAGCCTTTGTTACATGGTGAACTACAAGCTAGCCTGGGCAACATGGTAGTGCCATTTATAAATGGAGAAAGACAAAGAGAGGCAGAGGATGATAAAGAGGAAGGAGGGGAAGCCATAATTTTAAATATGAAGCAGAAATGCTGAGGATATAGCTTAGCAATAGAGTGCATACCTACTATGTGTAAGATCCTGGGTTCAATCTCCAATAACGACAGAGAGAGAGAGAGAGAGAGAGAGAGAGAGAGAGAGAGAGAGAGACTTGCTGACAAACC